AATTAAATCATGTAGGATCTGTATGAAATTCAACAACTTAATTTGTTCTTGTTGAGATGACATGATAATCTAGTAAGAGTGGTTAGTTGCTGGACTCATGAAATTCACAAGATCACATGACATTTCAAACTGTAGGAAAATCACTGGCGTTTTAAGAGACAGACAACTACACAAACACCACGTGTATGCTATCGCTATTTATTGTGGTTTAACCTGTCAAGGACAAAAACGTACAGAAAATTCTGCATCAAGCCTTGAAATCATAGCTTTCCTACTTTTGTTAAGCCTGGATTGGTGGTGTGGTGGTTAGTGCTGTTGCCTCACAGCAAGAAGGTCCTGGTTTCAAATCCACAATCTGGGTATTCTGGTTTCCTCCCGCAGTTACAGTTAGGTTAATTGGTGATTCCAAATTACCCATGAATGTGAGTGCAAATGGTTGTTTGTGATAGACTGGTGAGCTGTCCAGGGCGTACCCTGCCTTGTAACCTATCATTTCAGATTTATCCCCTGCAACCTGGATAAAGATAGGTCCACTATTGAATTAAGTAAATCCAACATGCTCTTTTTTTCAGTGCAAACTGATATTCATCTTTAATAGGGCTGTCAAAATTGAGAGCAAACAAAGAAACCGCTGTATAATGCCCTCTGCTATCTTAATTTAACTAGTCACTGGAATTGCATCACATGACTAAAATGTGTCATCGTTTTCAAAAAGTCTCAGTTTTTGCTGTCCACAATGCAACGCAAAAGGACCGTTTTCAAATGTATGCGTTTTCGAGAGTGTTTTCAAAACACTGCGTTTTCCTTGAGGGAAAGCGCCATCTCAGTGTGGACGGAAGGTCAAAACGGAGAGAAAATGATGCGTTTTCAAACGAAAACACATTAGGATGACTGCTGTGTTTGCTTCGGATTACTCCTCACCCCCCACCCGACCCTGTGGCTTGTCACGTATTCCATAATGTTGTGCTGTGGACATTTATGTGCTTTTTTGTGCAGAGGAGTGTTTTTGTTTCCTGTTCTCATGCTGTCCTCCCAGGAGCCCAGCATAAGCAGAGGTCTCTTTTTTTCCTCTTGTACTTTCCCATTGTAGTGTAGATTTCAGTGTTTTTTTTCTGTAACACTACCGATCTCCGACCTGTATCCCCATGTGATGTCTGTGTTGTGTGTGTAAGGTCGGGGGGGGGTCCTATTTCACTGCAGGCCAACCTGCACGTGGCGAATAAAGCCTTGATTGATTGATTGATTAGTGTGGATGTAGCCGAAGAGATAGTTCCAATACCTTGAAGACAAATGACACCCTAAATTATTTTTACGGTGCGTTCACACTGAACGCGATAGACGCGACCAGAGCATCAGGTTTACATGAAAAGTCAACGGAGGAGCGCGATGAAGCGCGACTGGGGGTCCTGCGAAAATTCAGAAGCAGATTTGCGTCGCGGAAACGCGTGCATTCGCACATATTGCGTCTACCAGTCAGGAGCCTGGTGACGTGATGCTCTGACCTAGTTCAAAGGGGCAGGTCCAGCCAAAGCCCTTCATTCTTCATTCAATATGGAGGAAAGGCTAATCAACGCCGTAGCAAACCACCCGGAGCTGTACGACACCAGCTGCTTTCTCTACCGAGAATTTTAATATTATTTCAAATAAATTTTTGTAATGACTAATGTCTCAGTTCTACTACACAGCAAATATTGGCACACAACTTGACACATGTAGAATTTATTTCATATTATACTAATGAAAAAATATACTACTATATAGGAACATAGTGAAGCCCAATTATTTAAGAGAATAAAGAGAGGTTAGTTTATTTTGGAGGCAAGCTTCATTTACTAAGAAACTTTTTTTAAGAAAAAAAGGCAGGAACGCTCTTTAGAGGTTTGTGGGTGGCTCTTAAAAGGGCTGTTGTGGGGAAGTCACTGGGACTTCAAATGAGCATAATATTAGCACAGGTATCGATAAAGGACTACCGTTTTAAACACTTTTACTAACCGCAGGCAGACGGACAGGTGTTTAGGTGGGCGATGCTTG